CAGACTGAACTACCATCCAGATAGCCTGTCAGACAGAGGATATAGATGGACACAGGAGAGTTTGCGTCTAGAGACCAGCATCACTACCAGGATGTTGCGGCTGGTGCTGGTGCTGATGCTTTTACCTCCCTTGGCTTGCACAGCAGATACTGCTAAGTGTTCTTTAAAGGATCCCCTCCCCGTTCCACATGAAATCTACCGGCCAGGGGACCTTCTCATTGGTGGGATGGCTTCTCAGATTGTTTATCACATTCGTGCACTAACCTTCCAAGAACATCCTTCTCAGGAGCTTTCTCAAGTTCCAAAGTAAGGAATTATTTGCTCCTGGCTTTCTGTAAGCTTTGTCAGACAATCAATCATTCATACAAGTGATAAACTGCCTGAAGGAAGTACATGAAGGCATGCCCCCTGGCCTTCGGGTTCCTCTTTTACAATCACTTTCTCATGCATTCTACTCGGTTTACAGAGTCTGACTTTCTTTCTTCTTAGATTTTTCTTTCTAAGCCTTGCATTACACATGGCACAAAGAGCTGTTGGTTGGATCCTATGGAAGATGTCTTCTTCTGCAAGGGTCTTTATGCAAGCAGAAGAGCTGAAATCACTACTGGCTGTCTGCTTCCACTAAGTGAAAGAGATTGTATCCCCAGTATCTTTTTCTGTTGGTGCAAGACAGAGTATTAGGTATCTCTCTTATGATAAAATCTCGAAAGCAAATTTTAAAAATGCAAACCATTTATGATAGTTTCCATTGATCCATTGTTGTGCCATTAAAATAACACTGATATGCCCCCTGTTGCTGCAGCCCTGCCTCTATCACTTTCACAAACACGACTGCGTTAAGCACATTTTCCTTTGTGATCACACATCACTGGATCCAACCTATGTACATTTAGCTGAGCTACTTGGAAGAATGGCAGCTTAAAATGTACTAAATAGACAGATCTGGTTAACTATGGCAAAAGCACACGAAACATGCACAGTGTGTAACTGGGAAAACATTCACAACCCAACCCAAACTCCAGTGTATCTAGGTATAGTAAACTATCACTAAGCAAACCCACATTTACAGTTGCAGCAGTGAGAGTTTTACAATATCCAAAGACCTAGAGTTTGGAAGTGCATGTTCAAATGAAGTATGGAATTTTGCTTTTGAATATGTTGTCAGTGTTCTAGGTTATTTGACCACCCCAGATATGTTTCTGGGTGATTTCCCACAAGCGCTGCTCCGCGCTCACTAATCTCTTTGGCCCGATGGTACGTGTCAATTTCACACAAGCTGCTGCACGACCACACTTTGCCCCGCAGCTTCGTGCAATTTCCCCCGTGTCTACTCAATCCTGTTTTTTGAGGATTGAGTAGACGCGGGGAAAATCGCACGAAGCTGTGGGGCAAAATGCGGCATTGTGTGAAATTGACATGTACCATCGGGGCAAAAGGGAGGAGTGAGCGCGGCGCAGTGCTTGTGGGAAATCACCTCTGTCTGCGGCAAGGCATGTGTTCTCTGGTGAAAACTTAACAACAAGTATCACTATTCACTTCAATACTCACCTTGAACAGTTTTCCTTGGCAAAAAGAAATAACAGGGCATTTTGCCTTCCAATGTGATACCTTTCCTATAATGAAATCAATAGACTTTGTGGCTTGGTTAGTGTCACAGGTGCTTTGTTGGTTTACAGAAAGAAAACTAGAAGTGGTAAGTGACTTTAGTAAGGACCTGGACAACATTTTTACCAATATGCATTGTAGCACTATTGATCTAGTATTTTTTTTAAAAAAACCTCTTTCAATATGTTACCAAATGTTCCTGCCATCTGATTGGTTTTAACTTTTTAGTTAATGTCAGAATTTGGTTATATATTACTTGTATTTTTAATCTCTATAATGTTGCAAATCGCCCAGAGCCTGTTTTGCAGGGTGGGCAATTCATAAGTTTCATAAAATAAGTAAAATATTATTCTGCAACACCACTGACTGAGATTCCTGGCTGAGCTCTCTGTGTTGTTCATACATCTGCATTTATTTGGAATTTATTCTAGAAAGCAGATGCACCCACTTCTGAACTTCTAGATAACCTGGCAAGGGTAGGGAAATGACAAAGTGCAGAAAAGGGCAACTCGATTGATAAAAGAGTTGGAACACTTTCCCTATGAGGAAAAGTTAAAGCACTTAAAGGCTATTTAGCTTGGAGAAACGATGACTGAGGGGAGACATGATTGAGGTTTATAAGATTATGCATGGGATAAAGCAGGTAGAGAAAGAGGTACTTTTCTCCCTTTCTCACAATAAATGAACTCGTGGGCACTCAATGAAATTGTTGAGTGGTTGGGGTAGAACAGATAAAAGGAAGTACTTCTTCGCCCAAAGAGTGATTAACACATGGAATTCACTGCCACAGGAAGTGGTGGCGACTACAAACATGGACGGCTTCAAAAGGGAATTAAATAACTATATGGAGCAGAGGTCCATCAGTGGCTATTAGCCACAAGGTATAGATAGGGACTCTGGGGCAAGTGATGCTCTGTCTTCTTGGTGCTTGGGGAAGTCAACAGTGGGAGGGCTTCTAATATCCTGGCCCCACTGGTGGACCTCCTGATGGTACCTGAAACTTAACAACAAGTATCACTATTCACTTCAATACTCACCTTGAACAGTTTTCCTTGGCAAAAAGAAATAACAGGGCATTTTGCCTTCCAATGTGATACCTTTCCTATAATGAAATCAATAGACTTTGTGGCTTGGTTAGTGTCACAGGTGCTTTGTTGGTTTACAGAAAGAAAACTAGAAGTGGTAAGTGACTTTAGTAAGGACCTGGACAACATTTTTACCAATATGCATTGTAGCACTATTGATCTAGTATTTTTTTTAAAAAAACCTCTTTCAATATGTTACCAAATGTTCCTGCCATCTGATTGGTTTTAACTTTTTAGTTAATGTCAGAATTTGGTTATATATTACTTGTATTTTTAATCTCTATAATGTTGCAAATCGCCCAGAGCCTGTTTTGCAGGGTGGGCAATTCATAAGTTTCATAAAATAAGTAAAATATTATTCTGCAACACCACTGACTGAGATTCCTGGCTGAGCTCTCTGTGTTGTTCATACATCTGCATTTATTTGGAATTTATTCTAGAAAGCAGATGCACCCACTTCTGAACTTCTAGATAACCTGGCAAGGGTAGGGAAATGACAAAGTGCAGAAAAGGGCAACTCGATTGATAAAAGAGTTGGAACACTTTCCCTATGAGGAAAAGTTAAAGCACTTAAAGGCTATTTAGCTTGGAGAAACGATGACTGAGGGGAGACATGATTGAGGTTTATAAGATTATGCATGGGATAAAGCAGGTAGAGAAAGAGGTACTTTTCTCCCTTTCTCACAATAAATGAACTCGTGGGCACTCAATGAAATTGTTGAGTGGTTGGGGTAGAACAGATAAAAGGAAGTACTTCTTCGCCCAAAGAGTGATTAACACATGGAATTCACTGCCACAGGAAGTGGTGGCGACTACAAACATGGACGGCTTCAAAAGGGAATTAAATAACTATATGGAGCAGAGGTCCATCAGTGGCTATTAGCCACAAGGTATAGATAGGGACTCTGGGGCAAGTGATGCTCTGTCTTCTTGGTGCTTGGGGAAGTCAACAGTGGGAGGGCTTCTAATATCCTGGCCCCACTGGTGGACCTCCTGATGGTACCTGGTATTTTTGGCCACTGTGTGATAGTGTTGGACTAGATGGGCCTTTGGACTGATCCTACAATGGCGTCTCTTATGTTCTTGTGTTCTAATTGAGCTCAGGATGGGACTGTTTTAGGGATAAAGTTTCTCTTACCCTAATTGTCGTTGCCTTAAACAGATAACGTTTGCATGCTGTTCTAATTGAGCTAAGGATGTGACTCTTATTAGGAATAAAGTTTCTCCTACCCTAATTGTCTTGTTGCCTTAAACAGATAACGTTTGCATGCATTGTTTGGGTTTTTTCCCCTCTTCTTTTCTACAGTCACAGCCCAATGAGGCTTGCCGAAAGCCTGTTAAAAATGACCTGTCCCTCTAACGGAAGCTTAACAGGAGGTGATTTGCCAGGTGATGTGATTTGCTTCATGTAATGGAAAACTTTGCTACTTTGCATGTAATGGAAAACTTTGCTATTGCTTTGTAATGGAAAACTTTGCTATATATAAACCCTATGAAAAGGACAGGGCATTTTAACAGACTTTCAGCAAGCCTACACCCAGTTGTGTAAGTAATTTTATCATTAATAACTCACACTAACAACATTTTAAGAAAAAAAATTCTCCTAAGCCCAGAACAGGAACAAATGAGGGCATGTCCTTTCACTGAGATGATAAAATGAGTGTCAAAAGGGACCAAAGATCTGCTAAAATTACATAACGCATAGTGACATGCTCCTATAAAAATAATTGAACTGTGTTTTTTTAAGTATGCTGCCAAAGCTCTACCAACATGTTCTGGCCTTGGTGTTTGCCATAAACGAGATCAATGAGAATCCCAAGATTTTACCCAATGTCACTCTTGGGCTCCACATCTATGACAGCTACCATGATGTCCGAATGACCTGTCGTACCACTCTGGATCTACTGTTTAAATTGCACAGATATCTTCCAAACTATGAATGTGATGCCCATAAAAATCTAGTGGCCATCATTGGAGGACTTAGCTTTGACATCTCCTTTCACATGGGCCACATCTTAGGTCTCTACAAGATTCCACAGGTAGGATCCATGCACAATGGTGTGAGTGATTTCCCAAATGTACCCCCCATTTCTGGAAGTTATTTTGATTCAGAAGGAGAGATAACTATAGGTGAAAAAATAAGTCTTATCTGAATCACAGCAGAGTCTCTGTTGTCTGACAGAGAGTGGTGGCAGGGTGGATCCTGGCAAATCACAACCTATCCTACCACTCCACTGAGCATTCTTTCAGTTGAGATTGTCTTCCTCCTACTTAACTGGCTCTTCCTCTAATGAGTCACTTCAGTTTGCAGAAGGCTCCTTATGATGGGGGGAAACTTCTTGGAGGATGATTGAATCCATCCCAGTATCAGCAAGTACAGGATAGCACAGTGGGTATTTCAACAGGTTTCATCCCCATAAGCATTTGCCAGAAGAGATTTCCAAGAGTTCAGCAAGAAGTTTCTTTTACTTTAACGTACAAAATGTACAAGAAAAACTCTCCTGACTTCTTACTACTTGATCACTGGGTGGATGTATGTATCCAATGCACAGCCAGAGTACTGATATCTAAATTATTAGTGACTGCTAGATTAACTATAGCTAGTGCCTGGAACCGACCGACCCCCCATTCTTTAAATTTATGGTGTGCTAAATTATGGGATCAATTTTTAATGAGTAGAATAATGGACAATTTGTTCTGTTTTTGGAGCTCCTGGTATCATGACTCTGGTAGATCATTTGGAGCTATGGTCACCAGTTTTGACTCTCCTTTCCAATAAAGGAGTTCTTTCCATATATGATCAACAATTTAACTAGTTAAGGTTTTAAGAAATGCGATCTCATGCTCTTGGACTTATTCAATAGATGGCTTTGGATGTAGGTTTTCTATTGTTTGATATTAGACCTCTCTGTATGGACTTGGTATTTTCTTTAAATTTTTTATAAATAAATTTTATTAAATATTTTTTAAAAAACAAAATGCACAAGGAAAAAACACACTGTGTAATCAAGCATATGCACAGAGACACTCCTCCCAATTCATACCTAAAACATGGGTGTATTTTGTCCTAGATTGCTTATGGATCATTTGCCCCAGAGGAGAGGGGTTCAACAGAATTCCTTCCTTTTTACTGTATGGTCGCAAATGAAGCCCATCAGTATATGGGGATCATCCAATTACTGCAGCATTTCAGATGGACATGGGTAGCACTCTTTGCTACGGATGATGGCAGTGGGGAGCATTTTTTGCAGCATCTGGAGCCATTGCTTTCTGAAAATGGAATCTGTTTGGCATTCACAGAAAGAATCCCAAACCAAGCCTATTGGACTGATTTGGGTGATATTAACAATTTCATCTTAAATATATACCTACCTTTTTCAGATGGCAAAGCCAATGTGTATATCATCTATGGAGAATCCAGGACCATTTTAGCCCTGATGACATTTATGTTTGTTGGGAATCCTGGATATGAGGAACAGCCTTCATTTCGAAAGGTGTGGATTATGACAGCCCAGATTGATTTTGCAGTAACAGGAATTCAAAAGAGCTGGGATTTCCAATTCTTCCATGGTGCCATTTCCTTTATGATACACTCACAGGGGATTTTACACTTCCAAGATTTTCTTAAAGATATAAAACCTCACAGGGTTCACGGAGACAGTTTTCTCAAGGTCTTCTGGGAACAAGCCTTTGATTGTTTATATTCACATCCCCAGGGTGGGATGGAAGACAATGGAATATGTACTGGGGATGAAAAGCTGGACAGCCTTCCTGGGTCTCTTTTTGAAAAAACCATGAGTGGCCACAGCTACAGCATCTACAATGCAGTTTATGCCATTGCGCATGCTATCCATGCAATGGGCTCTCTCAGATCAAAACACAGAAAAATTATGAATAGGAAAAAAATAGAACTTCAAGATTTCCAGCCTTGGAAGGTAATGTTTCCACAATGCAATGACCTTATAAGCACCAACAAGTTATACACAGAGTTGTTGTTGTTTTACCTTGCATTAACTGGCCAAATTATGTTGTACATATTATTAATAATCCATTGTAGATTTTAGCATAAAGATTGGATTATCTTCTCTTTCTTTTGTTCTTTCTTTTGTTCTTTCAAATAGCTCCACACTTTTCTTCATGGCATTTTGTTTAATAACTCAGCTGGAGAAACAATGTCTTTGGATCAAAAGAGAGGAATGGGAGCAGGCTTTGACATTACAAACCTGGTAACATTCCCAAACAAGTCTTTCATTAGGGTGAAAATTGGAAGGGTAAATCCAAATGTTATTGGACAAAAAGGGTTCAGCATTCAAGAGGATATGATTGTGTGGCAAAGAACTTTTAACAAGGTAGGCATTCTAAAGCATGTCTGGAACGATTCCAGCAAACTATAGTTTTACATTTTCACACTTGCACCTCAGCTGATTAACTATAAAATATCTAATCCCCTCCTTCTGAAGCTTCTTTCATATTTCATGATAGGGGCTGCCTCTTTCAGTGTGCAATGATTATTGCCAGCCTGGTTATCAGAAGAAAAAGAAGGAAACAGAGAAATTCTGCTGCTACAATTGCGTTTCTTGCCCAGAAGGGAAGATTTCAGAACAGAAAGGTAGGTGATGTATCTTGGTAGTGCACCACACTTCCTAGCATTCAGGGCACCTTCTGATGATCATTTCCCAAATAATTTACCACCATATGCAAGTAACTCACTGTTCGCTGTCAGCTTTCTAATAGATTAGAAGGATTTCTACACAGGACAAGAAAATGAGGAAATGATTCCCTCAGACCAAATGCTTTTTAGTGCTATCAATGCACACATTCAGCTGTGGGTCACCAAGACAAGTGAATTTGTGATGGAAAATCAATCATTGTTCATGTAAATATGAACCAACTTTTTACTGACAAAAGAGTAGGAAAACTTCGGCCCCTGCCACACGCAGGGGAAAAGGCGCTAGAAGGCGCGGCTTTTAAAAGCCGCGCCATGCAAGAGTATTCCGTGCACATGCGCAAGGAACGCTCTGTAGCTGACCTCGCCGCCGCCGCGCCACCTCCTCCTTGGAGCCGGGCGGGCGGGGGGAGGACCGGCCTCACTGCCGCTGCCGAGCCCGGCAAAGGGGGGGAAGGACCGGCCTCTCTGCCGCCTCCGCCTCAGAGCTGGCCGGGCGGGGGGAGGACCGGCCTCACCACCGCCGCCGAGCCCGGCAAAGGGGGGGGAAAGGACCGGCCTCTCCACCTCCACCTCGGAGCCAGGTGGGGGGAGGACCGGCCTTGCTGCCGCCTCCTCAGGGAGATCAAGTGGGGGGGATGGAGGAGACAGAGCTCTTCTCCCCCCGCGCGAGTATCGTAGGTCCCCATCTTGTAAAATATCTAATCCCCTCCTTCTGAAGCTTCTTTCATATTTCATGATAGGGGCTGCCTCTTTCAGTGTGCAATGATTATTGCCAGCCTGGTTATCAGAAGAAAAAGAAGGAAACGGAGAAATTCTGCTGCTACAATTGTGTTTCTTGCCCAGAACGGAAGATTTCAGAGCAGAAGGGTAGGTGATGTATCTTGGTAGTGCACCACACTTCCTACCATTCAGGGCACCTTCTGATGATCATTTTCCAAATAATTTACCACCATATGCAAATAACTCACTGTTCGCTGTCAGCTTTCTAATAGATTAGAAGGATTTCTACACAGGACTAGAAACTGAGGAAATGATTCCTTCAGACCAAATGCTTTCCAGTGCTATCAATGCACACATTCAACTGTGGGTCACCAAGAGAAGTGAATTTGTGATGGAAAATTAATCATTGTTCATGTAAATATGAGCCAACTTTTACTGATGACAGAGTAGGGAAACATAGAATTCTAAGACATCCGTGATTAAAAACACGTGAAAACCTAAAGCTCCATTAGGCTGAGTCACATCATTTATTATTATAAGAACATATGAAATGCCCTGCTGGATCAGAACAATGGTCTATGTAGCCCAACATCTTGTTTCACACAGCAGCCAACCAGTTGCCCTTGAGGGTCAAGGGAGCATAAGAGGCCAAGGCCTTCCTCAAATGCTGCCTCCTAGCATTAGTATTCAAAGATTTACTGCCTGTTAAACTGCAGGCTCCTTTTATTCACTAAGGCTATTAGCCATTGATGGATCTCTCCCCTACAAATATGTATAACCCCCTTTTAAAGCCATCATTTTTACCCTCTACATGCCTCTGCCTCAGCACCCACATGAGTGGACAGAAGTTAGAAGGGCTAGGAAGAAGGAGGAACTCTCCTGTACAGATTACAATATGAGATACAGAAGAATTCTTTGGCTGTAATGGTAATCTCAAAAGAGAGGTAAAACACAAAAATTCATATTCTGACCATGGCAGTTAAGAACTTCAGTGGTATCACAACATCACAATATTTTCTAAGCGGCTCTAAGTCCCTTAAAAGCCAAGATTAGAATGACATGTATAAACCAGCATGTTTCTTCATTTATTGATAGGAACAAATGGTTGTGATGCCTTTCCAAAATTTACTGAAATCAAATGTATTTGATTAGTTTTGCGAAATGGAGTTAAAATGCTTTATACACATACAGGAGTTAAAAATTACATTGAAATGTAATAGTATAAAATGCCTTTTCAGACAATGACTTTCAAACACATAATGGGTGCGTTCAGACACTCTGTTTGAACTGCTTTTGGCATGCTTCAATAACGGATTTTATATGCACGTTCACACACCAACATCTGCGCATCATCCCCAGACGTCACTTTCCGGCTCAAAACCCCCTTTAAACCGGAGTATTTTGATACCACTTCTCCCTCTGGTGTTTTCCTGATTCTCCTGCTTCAAGCCACAGTTTCCAGTGTCTGATCACTCCTGTGGTGTCGAGCCACTTCCGGGTGCTTCTAACCCCTCCCCTCTGGAAAGCTGCCATGGAAGTCCAAGGCTTCCACTTTTCACCGGCTATTTTTTTAGCATCGGTGGTATGTGCATAGGTAGAGCTCTGCTCCTGTGTTAATTGAACTAAAGTTTAAATGGTGACTTGTTTTACCATTTAGATGAGTTTGGGATCTCATGGAGACCATTTTCGGGTCAAAAGTTTAAAGGGAAGTCTTTTGTTGGAGGGGTTGGATTGATTTGCCCTGGTGGTTTTGCACATGTGCCATGATAGTTTCCCCCCATTCTATGGATGAGCCCCTATGTGCAGGCGCAAACTGAGGGGAAAAAATTAAAAACCTCCGACACACGCTCCCACGCATTGGTAGTGTAGACTGTGGGGAGCGCTGTGACTATGCGGTAAAGGGGGATAAGGGAGGTAAGTGTGAGCGTGATTATCCAGATCAAATATAACCCGGTCAGAACTGGAGCAGTTTAACCGACTCTCAGCATACCATCTGAATGCACCCAAACAGATCTCTCTTAAAATGTGAATGTTTTAACTACCTTCAAATCTCACTTGAGTTGGTGCTGTGCTTGTCTTTTTTTGTTTCAGATTCAGTTGACTGTATGAATTGCCCAAAAGACCACTATCCAAGCAAGGACCAAGATCAATGTATTCTCAAGGTGATAAGCTATTTGTCCTATGAAGAGCCTTTAGGAGTTAGTTTAGGTTCTATTGCAGTTTCTTATTCCCTGATCACAGTCTTGGTTTTGGGAATTTTTATTAAGCACCGAGATACCCCCATAGTGAAAGCAAACAACTGGGACATCACTTATGCCCTTCTTGTTTCTCTTTTGCTCTGCTTCATCTGTTCTCTATTATTTCTTGGATACCCTATGAAGACGACCTGCTTTCTTCGACAATCTGCTTTTGGAATCATCTTTGTAGTAGCTGTTTCCTGTGTCTTGGCCAAAACTGTCACTGTGGTTGTAGCTTTCATGGGCACCAAACCAGGATCCAGGATGAGAAAGTGGGTGGGGAAAAGGCTGACCAATTCCATTGTCCTTTCCTGTTCCCTTCTTCAAGGAGTCATTTGTATGGCATGGCTAGGAACATCTCCCCCTTTCCCACAGTTGGACATGCAGTCACTGAATGAAGAGATAGTGGCAGAATGTAATGAAGGATCTGTCACCATGTTTTATATTGCTTTGGGCTATATGGGATTCCTGTCTATCATCACTTTAACTGTAGCTTTCCTAGCTAGGAAGTTACCTGACAGTTTCAATGAAGCCAAGTTTATCACCTTCAGCATGCTGATATTTTGTAGTGTTTGGTTGTCTTTTGTTCCAACCTACCTGAGCACCAAAGGGAAGTACATGGTAGCTGTGGAGATCTTCTCTATCTTGGCTTCAAGTGCAGCATTACTGGGTTGTATTTTTTTCCCAAAATGTTACATTATTGTGCTGAGGCCGGAGCTGAACAGAAAGGAGCAGCTAATAAAGAGAAAGAATTAATCTTTTCATGGTATTATATACCTTTAAATACATAACATCTGATGAATTAATTTAAAGTAAATATGGAAGTAAAAAAAAAATTGTGATTATGAGGTAACTGCCCCCCCCCCCAGCAATGTATTCTCCTAAATGTAGTTGGTAACATTTAGGGAGCAATTCCAGGCTTTTATCCCTCAGTCCAGGAATCATATTTTTTCTGCATTTCAGTATTTATGTCATATGTATTTCACATTTACTGATAGCCTATGGGAATGAGGTTGAATCTGGTCCATTTGTTGAAGAAAATGCTGGCTCTTAAAATATGCTTGTAATTATCATGGATGTGTCATGAGTATTGCTTTGGACATTTCCCACAATATTACTGTAACTGTGTTGTATTTTGTCTATTGAAAATATTTGAATGCCACCTTTACACCCAGTTTAGGGCCCCAAATGTGGCAATCAATCAAAATATTTAAAAGGTATTTAAATATTCAGATAAATGTGTGTATCTCTCCTTATATATAAAGCTGTTTTAAAATGGCAACATTCCATGTGCTCCCATTGGCTGTAAAATGCCCTCCCTCAGCCATTGGCCCATCAGCCGCCACTCAAGAGTACTCGCATGCCATTGGCCAGGTGCTGGATCTGCTCCTCTTCCTTCTTTACCACCACATGACTGTCAGTTCTGGGTTTGGCATCTTTAAAGAAATTACTAGTAAAACAGATATAGGCTTGGGCTTCTGAATTTGAAAAGGTTTCTGTCCCCTCTGACTCCTCCCCTTTTCATAGGTGTCTTCCACACAGGGATGGGATTTTGCTAGTTCAGTTGTATGTTAAGCACAGGAACAAAAGGGCTTCCAACTTTCTGATTCTATGATTCAGATTTCTTATCCTTTTAACTGGAGATTCCAGGGATTGAGCCTGGGAACTTCTGCATGCTAAGCAGATACTCTACCACTGAGCAATAGTCCCTCTCCAAAATGGAGGGATAAGGTATAATACTTCTCCATAATACGTAGCTGTGCTGGCAAGAAAAATGCAGCCTAAAGTGACACCAGCAAAATGTGGAGTCAGGTAGCTTGTAATTATCATGGATGTGTCATGCGGACTGGTAGCCTAAGAGCCCATCTGTTAGTTGTAAGGCATTCTAGACAGAGAGGAAAGCACTAACATTATGCTGATCTGCCATCAATACAATTAGTTAAGTACACACGCTGGTATCTCAGCTTTTAAATTCAAAGTTAGGAGGCAAATTAATCTTTGGATATCAGGTGGTTTTTACAGCTAGATTTGAGTCGATTAAGTATTTTCTGGGACATTTGCAGCTCATACATATGTTGAACTGGATAGTTTTGTCGTGGGGCTGGATCCAACCAGATTTTTTGCTGGCAAAAAGGGGGAGGAAAGTGTCCCATTTGGCCACCACAAAACGTTTTGCTGAGGATCATCGGACATGCACAATAGGACATGCACAGACAAAATTCCATATGTAAAAACCCATCATCAGAGGTATGAAGTAGGCTATGCATTCATCTCATGGAGCCGACTTCCAGCTCTCAAAACCTCATTCCACTGCAGTATTTAGGTTTCTTGTTTTTGATGTAAACATTCATATGGCTACCTGTTTGGGGGGGCAGGTGGTGTGTAAACACAATTATCATGAAGGCAACCACAGCAATGGGGTTTCTACAGTAAGTGAGAAGCAGAGATGATTAGCTATTGTGCTGGTGTCCTGAGAGTAAGATGTACTCTCTGCAATTCCTCTCTCCCCTAGCTCAGATAGATGGCTACAATATTTCCTTACATTTACTGTTTCCCTATGAAGTCTCTTAACAATAAAGGACATCTATTTCTTCTCTAAAGCAACAAGCCTCCAACTCTGGCTTGGGCAATTCCCAGAGATTGAGGGGTGGAGCTTGTAGAGGGTGGAGTTTTGAGATGGGAGGGGTCTTATCCGGGATTTGAATCCATAGAGCCCACCCTCCAAAGCTACCATTTGCCCCAAGGAACAGCTCTCTCCATTCTGCAAATTATCCCCTTTCCTCAGCACACAACCTGCCCCCCCCAACAGGCCAGCACTTAAGTGTCTAACACTAAGCACATGTGCAAGTAAGTTAGTTTAATGGAATTCAATTGGGTGGAAGAAACATGCTTAGAATCTGACTCCACATAAATCAACATAGAGTTTGCTCACTATGAAGACCTGGAAGTGACTTCTGGCTTCACATTCCACTAAGTGTAGAGAGATCTTCTGCTCCCCCTTTTTTGACTCATCAGCATTTAAAAAAAACAACAACCCCCGAACCATGTAAGAAATGTAATGTCACTTCCGGTGAATACTCAGAAATGATGTCAGATTGCCGGCATGACCACAATGTAAAAGTTTTGCACACATCCTAGAGGGTCACCTTGACATCATACCAGCAATTTGTTGTCATTTCTGATATCTGCCAGAAGTGATGTCATGCACCAAATCCTTCTGTTCCTGTGTGCCCCCCCACACAATTTGCCAATGATCAGCCTGCAGCCCTAACTAAGGTAACAGGTGAGACGAAAGGCCTGCTCTAGGGAATATCCTGCTATCCAAATTCTGCAGAGGCAATTATCTCCCTTCACAATTATTACATCTCTGCAATTAGTTTCATTGACCAAGAAACTAGCAAACAATGAATAAGCAAGTCTGAAAATAGTAATAAAAACTCCCCTTTCCACTAAAACCTCCTAGAGCAGAATAGGCAGATGTTTTGTCAGTTTGAACTTCTACATTTTGCCCTGTGATAGCGGACTTGAATTCAGAATATTCAAGACCTGCATTTGCATTGTATTGATGATTTCACTTATACATTAAGAAGTGTGTTCATAGAGTCAAGACAGCCTGATTAAATCAGGTTGAAGATATAGACAGAGAGTAATGCTGCATGCAGATATCAGGCTGGTAGTAGCGCTGCTGAATCTGCTTCCAACAGCATGTGAAGCAGAAACTAGAAAGTGTCCCATGGAGGACTCCATCCCTATTCTACATGAATGGCACCAGCCAGGGGACATCCTAATCGGAGGGATTGCTTCTCTGTCCATTTCCCAAATCCTTGAATTAACCTTCAATGGTCATCCTTCTCAGGAGTTGTTCACGTTACCACAGTAAGGAATCAACATTTTCTCTTGCTTCATTTGAACCATAACAATCTTTTTAACATGCCTTAGGCATATATATAGGCTGTCTTTGCTACAAAATCCTTCTTCAGAGCCAGTTTGGTGTAGTGGTTAAGAGCAGGGACTCTAGTCTGGGAGAACTGGGTCTGATTCCCCACTTCTCCACATGCAGCTGATAGTGTGACCTTGAGTCATTCATAAAGTCTTTCAGAGCTGTTCTCTCAAGAGCAGTTTCTCTCAGAGCTCTCTCAGCCTCACCTACCTCACAGGATGTCTGTTGTGAGGAGGGAAAGGGAAAGGGATTGTAAGCCCTTTGGATAGTGAAGGTTGGGGTATAAATCCAACATCTTCTCTTCTTCTTCTTCTCAGCTCTTTCTGAAACACATGTCTCCTGCTCTGTTTATGAGTTCCCCCCCTTCTTTTTTATATTTTAGAGGATGAGTGGGAGGCATAAGGAGATATTTTCAGAGGAGGAGAAAAGTCACACCACATTTTTCTGTGGGTAGAAGTTTGCAAATTCTATACAGAGCAACTTTATGAGGTTGTGGGGAAATGGACAAAAATGAAGGTAACAAATAAAAACGTCCTCAAATTCAAGCACATACAAATTGTGAAGTGTGGAGAAAATGTGTGAAAGACAATCTCTATATAACTTCACGAAAGAGAATTCTGATCCTTGCATTACGGTAACAAAGGGCAACTGACCAAGGGACAAACAATAGAAAGCTGCCAGCAGCTTCTAGTGTCCTGGCCCCACTGGTGGACCTCCTGATGCCGCCTGGTATTTTTGGCCACTGTGTGACTGGATGGGCTATTAGCCTGATCCAACATTGGCTTCTCTTATGTTCTTAAAACTGTCAATATTGGGTATATCCTCAGCCGGATTTAAAATACAGCTCCCAAACAGAATTCAGGCAGCATGCAATTTCAAACGTGGCAATGGAAACTGCCATCAAGTCACAGCTGATCTATGGTGACCCCATAAGTTTTTCAAGGCAACAGATGTTCAGAAATGGTTTGCTATTGCCTGCCTCTGCATAATGACCTTGGATTTCCTTAGTGGTCTTTCATCCAAGTACTAACCAAGGATGACTCTTATTAGCTTTTGAGACCTTATGACATCAAGTCAGCTTGGGCCATCCAGGGATTTTCAAAAGTTGTGCTTTTTGTATGAAACACATATCCATTTCCAGGTGTCCCCCCCAAAAAAATCATACTCCCCCCAGTTGCATCTTTCCACTCAGCGAAATCTCTGTTATCAGTTTGTGGTGTTTGTTGTTGTTTTTCCTTCCTAGATCTTTCTCAATATCCTTCATGATTTCCTTCTCTGCTTCTCAAACAGCACATTGTCTTCTTTATTCTAATGCTAAAATCTTAGGATGCTGCTGTTGGGACTTTTATCGTTTTTCGGAAACATGTTTCTCTTTTTGCACTGTGTTCTCAACATCTGGATTTTTTTAAAATGAAAAGGGTGTTTGCTATCATTCTGTATCACAGATTTTAAATTTTGAAAATGTCTCCCCCACTTTCTTTTCTTTGGTTTCATGGTTGGATGCAGACTAAATTTTCCATCAACAGAACAGATCAGTTCTGCCTCTCCCTCTCACTGTAGTCCATTGACTCCTTGAGCTGATGCTCTTTGGGGGTAGTGGACCATGAGAAGGAATCCAAGGGAGATCTTCAGTGGAAGGAAGAATTGGTGGAAATTGCCAAATGAAACTGAATCCACCCCCCACTCCTCTCATAGATAGATGATAGATAGATATAGATAGATATGGATGGATGGATGATAGGTTGGTAGGTAGGCAGATAGGTAGGTAGGTAAGATAGATGGATGATAGATAGAAAAAACATTTTGCTAATGAAAA